CGGGCACGCTTGTGTGCGTGCGGGTGCGCGAGTGCGTGTCCGTTGGTGCGCGTGCGGGTGCGGATGTGCATGTGCGTATGTGTGTTTGAAGCTGAGGTTGCCAGGCTTTTTACATCATGCCCTCAGCGCACACCTGTGTGGCAGTGTGTATGCGCAGGCGTCAGAAGCTGTGCTAATCGTCGATTTTGCTTCGCAAAGAGCCTGCGGATACGCGCAGTCCCCCCAAGGGCATTGGCGAAGCCTGTCAGTTTTGAGTCGATGGTTCACTCTGGAGTGAAACGGTCAGACCCAAAAACAAACCCAAACGACTGCTGCCACAGGAGTGCTTGGGACCGTGGACCGGGGGCTGCAGGACCAGCGGTCGCAGTACTACATAATGTGGTTGATACGGTGGGGAGCTTTGTTTGACGGAGGAAAAGGATGATTCTTGATACGGACAGAATTGATATACATGCCCGGCCCGCGTAAAAATTGCATGATGACCTTGACGGGAATTGGATAAGTTTTCAACTAGCAAACAGCGCACCTCCGCTAAGCGTCACTGATAGCGCTATTGCCCCTTCCGCAAGGATACTTTGGTGAGGCATCTTAGTACTATTGCGCGTAACTCTTTTCAGCGCCTCAATAAAAGTCCTCCTTCCACTTAGACCGTTGACTATGAACCATGAACTTTTTGGACACTCATAGTTCCCAACCCAGCTGGCTCTCCCTGTAAGAGTGAAGAGTCATAGTGAATGGCAATAAAAACAGTAAAAACCACACAATGGCTTGCACGGACCCCATCACCACTTGAACAGGGTCCCCACAAAGTGCTTGAACTCGAGTAACTCGAGTTGGTGAAGATCACAGGAAACAAAAATCAAACGTATTTGCAAGGGCTGACCGAAAAAAAAAACAAACATTTGAACATTGACCGAGCTGGTGTAACTATGCATAATTTAGGCATATCCCCGCAGGTCGTCCTCCCTTTGGGATCATCGCCCCTAAACTGTAAGGCCATATAACCTACAAAGTGAGTCTTTCACATGGAACAACATTTGAACGGCGTCAGTCCCACAACTGTCAATCTAAGTCACCCAAGGGAGTCAACGGTGGACTTCCGAGGTTAAGACCATGGCCCCAACCACGTAGGAAGGTCAGAACTTGTCGGACAGGCCACTACCCAAAACTACCCGCAACTATCTTGGAAGCGGAAACCGTTTCACGGCAAAACTAACCATCATCCACTTGAATCTGCCCCAAGAATCCAACCCATGCAAAAAATATATTCCGCAGAGGGGAGCTCACATGGATTCCACCCATTGGCCCGGAAGGGAAAAACAATCCTAAACAAAACCAGGCTCGCCATGGACCACTTCCCTCTCCCACCCGCCGGTTTCACCAACTAGCCTCCACTGCATCGCCCTTAAACGAGAGCACCTGACGGTCGGACAATGTGCGTGCCCATCGCGCCGCAGAACGAACCGTTGCGCCGGCCTTTGCTGCAACAGAAACGAATCAATGCAACCAGACTCCGGAAGTGTTTGGATCTGCCAACAAGTGCGTTTGCCGGTCAACCAACGATGTAATATACAACTGAATCACGAGGTTTTAGGCTGCTGCATATGAAATTCAAACATTCTAAATCTAATGGCGCAAATCATAATTACAATCCAAAAAGATTCTTTGACTATCCGTCAGTGCAAAATAAGCTGATGCATTCGCGACACTGGCGGTTTGTTGGAAATCAGCCTCGTGAAAAACCATGAACGCATCCATCCACAGAACCGCTGAGAATGACAACGCTTCGACCATTTGCCAGCCTCGATCTCTGTGGCTTGCGGTAAACGCACCAAACGTTCTGACCAGGTATTTAAGAGCTTGGCCAACTCCTGGCGTGGCATGCTGCGGATGTGTTCATGCATCTGCACACGCCTTACCAGAGCTAAGCGCCTGAAACACATCATGCCATGGAAAAAATGCCCCTGTCAATAGAACAGCGCTATCACTATCACCTCCACTGCCAGGCCTTTGCATGTGACTGACTTCAGCACGAACTCTTGGCGAAGACGCGCGTAACATGGGCACTTCTGCAACCACACTCTGCGATCGAGCTGGTTTACGAGCAGCTTGGCTTCTTTCTTCCCGTTCAACAAACCTTTGCACACGCAGCACCAGCAAGGCTCTCACAATCTGGGGCATATTCTTGGGGAATCCTCTGACGCATGGATTCTGATGCATGGATCCTTGTCTATAGGAAGGGTAGAATACACAATATGCAAGGAAGCGACAAACACATCAAGTTGGGTCAACGGCTGCAACGTCGTAGGTTAAAGGTATGTCGCTTGACGGCCACCATGTGGTTGGACTGCGCAAGTCCGTCCCTGTGGCTCACCGTGGTGGGGGTGGTGGAAGTGGTATAGTCGGTGGTGTCTGTGATGCTGTTGATGCTGCACTGGCGCTGGCGCTGCTGCTGCCGCCGCTGCTCCTGCTGCTCTTGGTCGCAACGAAAGCAAGCAACATTGCTAAATTTCACAAAGCAGCTTAAACCCTTCCTGAATGGGTGTGAAAAAAACATAGGGGGGCAGCAACCACTTGAAGGACAAACACACCCAAAACTGTCCGATCGGATCGCCGTCCTAAAGACCTGTCGGACTGTGCGACCAAAGGATTCCAGAAAATAAGACTATTGACAAAAGCATGCAAAAGAATCATCATCCGTGGCAGAATATTGCAACAGTGGCTTTTTTCCATGCATGAAGCAGAAGATTGCAGGAATTCGCAGGTTAGGAATGTCTCACACTCAAACAGTCACTTATGAAAATGGGGGGGCTCAAGTAGCCAGGCCGACATTTGTTTATCTTGATCAGTAGGCTGGCATGCCTCCGTGTGTCGTTCCATGGAATTATGTAATGTTCAGGCTTTTCAGCGCAGCATCAAATGTGATCACACATGTATATGTGATCGTCCAAAACACTCTCGACGCAGGCACGGTTGTTCAGCACCCCAACTAATAAAACTGAAACACCCTGGCACGCTGATTTGCGAAGGACTGCGAGCAAACTGTTTGCTCGACACTGAATTAAGAACCAATTAACTGGTTAACTCAGTGCCGAGCAAAATCAGTTCGGTCGCAGTTTGTTCGCAGTTGTTCGCAAATCGGCGTGCCAGGGTGTTTCAGTGTTTTCCGAGTGCTTGAACACCTGTGCCAGCGTCGAGGGTGTTTTAGAAGCCACTGACATGTGCAAGCACAACAACTGCTGTTTCCCTGTTGTTGTTGTTGTTGTTGTTGTTGTTGTTGTTGTTGTTATTTGTTTAAAGGCGTCCTTTTCTCAAATTTTGGTCATTGAGGATGATTGGGTCTCTGTTTACGCTGAGGAGCATTTTTCGCGTGCGCATCACGTCGGTGCGTTGACATGTGTGTAACTTTTTCATCGGCAGGGTGACGGCTCATATTCAAAACATCTATGCCCTATGGATCCACAGACCGAACCAGGTCGGTACGGTGGCAGTGGATCCATAGGGATGGTCTAAATCAGCCTCAATGCCGTGGATCTGACTCCCAGAAAGCAGAAAATGGCCCTCCAAAAGAGATGTGCCTATTTGTTTCAGAACATGTAATTAGCATATCGCATGTTTTTTGATGTTGGTATTGGTGTTCCAGGTCCAGGGTACATCCTGGAAAACTGGACACCCTGGATTGCAAATAGTTTCTAATTGAGACTTGTAGAACCAGTCTGAGTCGGAGAACACCTCCAGCAGGTCATCTTTGCTCTCGTCCTCCACCTGTCCCATCGTTCAGGCAGGAGGGCTTGAGCCTGTTGAGGGGACCCCTTTCTTTAATCACCCAAATCATTCCAATGTACATGGGTCCTGTGCAATACATGTGTTTCTTCAAGCAAGGCGATATAGTTGTGGAAGGTTCAAAACGCATCAAATGGCTAATCAAGGACCTATAGACCCAGGCAAAGGCAAACTTCGCAAATCACTTCCCTCGCCACATGTCGCTTCGCTTCATAGCTTACTATCACATTACTCAAACATGCAAGACCCATGGCATGGCTCACATCTGTCAGATTAGATTGCAAGGAGTCAGTCGTCTGTTTTGCCCTGACATGAGAAAGGGGGCTGCGCATCATGCGCTGTTCCTTTCATAGCAAATGGGATCAAATGGGTGGGCCCGAGGCAATGCTTTCAGTTGTGGCAAGCTTGGGCACAGCTTGTCATTGTCAACGCGCGCATCCATAATGTTTCCAAACAGCCCTACGAGGAGCCCTCAGGTCAGTATCACCAGCTTGAGAGTGTAACTCACTGCGGTGCGCGAGTATAGCGCAAAGAAGCTGACTAAAGCGAACAAAAACGAGCAGAGTTGCACAACCACCACATGGGTGTGAATTGAAATAGAGAGACCTCCCAGTTCAACTCCCTGGAAGAAAGAACATAGACCAACACCCGTTGGTTGGGGGTCCCCCTATTAAAATACACACCCACATGGAAGAGTTTGCAGCCCTCCATGTTGGGGGAAGCTTTCTTGGGACGTTCAGGAACGTCGATGGGCCGAGCTTCTGGGCATCCGAAGTGTCCACGGCATCCACAGCACCGGGTTCCCTGTTCTGCAGTTCTGCTCTGGACGCAGCTGCGCCGGAGCTGTGCTTTTTTCACTGTGGATTCGGAGCCGTCCGTCGCTCCGTTCTGGTATCTTAAGAGCTTTCCTTCCAGCACTCGGGACTCGGGGAGCGACTCGGGGCATTGGAGTGACGGTTCAACAGTGACATTACATGGGAGGACTTCAGAGATGCAAGAATTCCCTCCATTTCTCCCAGTGACTTCAGTTTGCAAATCACCCAAAGTCAAGATGGATCGGATCAGGTTGATCCGTGGTGATTGAGGAGAACAAGAAAAGCTGCAAGAATTGGTTCAGCCATCTTCCTGCATCCACGTTCACGATCTTGAAACGCCCCTTTGAACCCCTTCCTACCCTGGTAGTGCTTGGCTGGCCAACTAAAGGCCTTGTCATGCAAGAGAAAAGGCCCCAACAGTGCCAAGAGGGGTTTCGCAAATGGTCACTGTTTTTTTTGTCTATCTATACCGCCTACATCAGAATAGTCGAGTCCCTACCGCACACACTCCAACTCTCTAACATGGAAGGTGGGAAAACACATGCGTATCGCTCAAAGGATTCTTTAGTTTCTGATCACTGCCATCTTGGGCGTCTGCTAGATCACCCGAAGATTTCGGCATGCGCAGCGCGCAATCCTGGAATCCTGGGATAGATGTCTCACGAAAATGAAGCTCGGACCTGTGCACCTTGATGCATCGAACGAATCCAAATACCCAACCCAGTGCATCCCAGGCAAACCACGTCTATAAGGAACCAGGGATTCGTTCGGTCTATGGTTTTAGTCGAACTGGAACCACTGGTGACCAGCTACATCGTGGGAACTGCCTGGATGCCCTGGGTCCAGGTCCGCCCCCCTCCGACCGACGGATCCAACGGGAGATCGAACGGTCTCGCTCCTCTGGCATGGTCATTCGAGGAACCACCAAGCCCGGCGTGTGCACCTGGGTCAGACCGATGTTTGATGGATGGATGGATGGGATTTTCTTCAAGAAGTGCGAAGCATGATTGTTGGGTTGGGTGTCTGGTCGGTCAAACAGAAATAGGTTCTATATAATATGGGTTCTATAACATGGCTGTCAAGAACGTAACATGAACTCCCATGCGCGCTAAAACTGAAACCGGATGCACAGGGTAATTCAGTAGACTGCTGCAACATGACCTCCCTGCATAAACATAGATCATCGAGACTAAATCTAGAGACAACAAGAAACACTTATATATACAAACTGATAATCACATGATATCAAATGGTTTCCTGGAATACCATTCCAATCCATTCCAGATCCACAATCCCAAAGTCACCCATTAATGTCTTGTTTAAAATGGTGTCAAAACATCCCCATGGGTCATGCCCCACAGCATTCACTCTAAAACGAGGATCTAAAACCCATGTCATAGAGATCTAGTGTCACTTCTGCGTTTTTATAGGGCATCACCCGTCTTTCTGGTGGAAAACGGTAAGGCGGTAAGGCCACAACTTTCCCAAAGGGGATTCATTGCAAAACCATGGGATGGATGGCAAGGATCCTCGGCAGGACGGATGACCACGAAGGTCACCCAAACCCACCAGGAGCAACTGTTTTGGGGTCTTCTGGCTGGACAGCTACGACTATTACGACTACATACTACATACTACATACTCCATATACTACTACACATACTACACATACTCCATAACTACTACTACTACTACTACTACTACTACTACTACTACTACTACTACT